TATACGTTTTTAATAACTCCACCATTTTTCATCTAATCTTCATGAAATTTTGACGGAATGAAGAGAAGATGTAATACTAAATTTTAATATTCATGAGTTGAATTGTTGATATATGGAATAGATTTTTTGTTGTTGTGTCTGGAGCGTGGATTTTCACTACTACCTCAGGAAAAAATTCATTAACAATTTTCTAATTTGTTTAGGTTAAAAATCAACACAAGACGTTTTAGATCTAATGTTTGCTAACATGCATGCAAAAAACCCCCCAAAAACAACAACAACAAACAAGCCATTTCCATGAAAAATAAGTTCGATATTCATTACGTAAGACATATCAACAAAACCCAATATGGCCGCCGTATCCACGGAAACCAAACTTTTTTCTCAAATTTGATTGTGCATTTTAATACTCCTTACTATGCTTGTTATGTGTGAAATTTGATACAATTTGGTCCACTAATAAGCGAGATAGCCTTCAGGTGTTGCCCCCCCCCTCTCCCTAACAGTGGCACAGGCACTGAGCTCAAACATGTCCACAGGCAACTGGGACATAATTATAGCTGTTTGAGGCAAACTGGATCAAAGTTATTTCTGCGGGTCGTTGGCGGGTGCTCTGATGTGGTGTGCTCCTTCTTTCCCACCAATCATCTATTGTGTTGATATTATTCTCTCCTCCTTCATTTTTGTGTTTGTTACTCTCTTGTAACACGTCTAATCTTCGGCGCTTATATGACCTGATTGTGTTTCAAGTGCCGTAAAACTCTAACTAAAAACTAAAAGAGTTATTTTCTTTCGTAATTTTATATCTCCTCAAGCTGCTGTAACGGCCACCTGTCCTAGAAAATCACCTATACAAACGACCACCTCCCACTTCCCACAATATCGCTTTTAAAAACAAATGACATTGTTCAAGACATCCACCTGTCTTTAATAACAACATTTCTCCCCAACAATAGTTGACTGTAAGGAACAATTCTGACAGTATTTAACTTTTCTTTTACGTTCTTCTCTCTTATGACTGGCCTTGATTCCACCCCCCCCCCTTCCACTGGCTGTGAACATTCGCCGTCTGTTCCCAGGCTTTGAAATTCCTCTGCGTAGACATCTGGTCTGGAAGTTCAAGACTGTTCGGATCGACAGTTACTGTGGGCTCAGAACCAGCTATAAAGAGTGCCACGACGTTGAACGCTTTCAACCTATCACAATCTGGCACAATAATAGTGGCTAAAATTGGTTGCCGTGGGCTTTTTCTGTCTTTTTTGTAGTTTATTTCCTTCGTTTGGGTTGCATTGGGCTTTCTCTTTTTATTAGTTCGGTATGTCGTTCGTTTATTCGTTCGCTTGTTTTTTTTTTAGCTTGACTTTTACGTTACATTAAACCCAATGTAGATGTTTAGTTACTGACTTGTGACTTGTTCTTTAATAAAACACTGCGGTGAGTTTAATAAAATTTAAATATTTACGTCGTGTACCTGTAGCCAGGAACAGCCTTAAAAGAATGTGAACCAAAAAGGTATTCCTTATAATGATGATGACGTTATCCAGATCTTCAGCCAGAACGCACTGTACTGTATGATAGAGAAATGATTTTATATTTGTTGCTATTTAAGTTGCGTTTGCAAAGTGCCCAGAGCCTGTGGTCTTAACCCCTTCAGTGCCTGGCCCGAGACTTTCTTGGGCTCCCAAGTTGTACTTAAAAAGCAGAAACGAAATCCTGTGTTACATTGGCTTATATTTTTATCAAAATGAAAAGTTCTAAGTGGTTTGGTGTCCTTTTTATCTGTGTAAGGGCGGGGGAGATGACGATAGATCGCTTACCCCGAATAAACTTGGGTTTCTGAAACGCAGAAATGCGCGTTTACTCCTTGACATTCTCCTTAACTCAAGTCTTGGGCCCGGTAGTGAAGTGGTTTAGCCGGGGTTAAGCCCTACATAAATCTAGTACATGATCATCGTTATTATTATTATCATTATTATTATTATTATTATCATGATCATTATTATTTGTATTATTTTTATTCGTATTATTATTAAGGTAATTTTGTAGCACCTTTCACGTACAATACAGCTCTTAGCACAGTTGATCGTCGTTTTCTCTTTTAGTTTTAGTGAAAGTTTTACGGCACTTGCAACATAAACAGGTCATATAAGTGTCGAAGATTGACGTGTTACAAAGAGTAACAAACACAAATCAGAAGGATGAGAGAATATCAGGACGATAGATGGTTGATAGGAAAGAAGGAGCAAACCACACTAGAGCACCCGCTAACCACCCTCTCATTTCCTGTACTGGAAAGAAAAATATAAACCCGATGAACAACGATATCATTTGTGAGGCATCGTGGTGAAAACAGGCTCTCGTCAAAATAATGAAGTAAAAGAAATTGGCAATTTTCTGACCGTAGGGCAATTTTTTTCTAAAGTTCTTTTTCTGGCTCAACACCTTTTACATACATTTAAAAACACACTTTTGTGTTGATTTTACTGAAAAACATTTATGAAAAGCACAAAAAATATCAATTTTCAGTTTCCAAGGACTCTCAAGCTTTGGAAATTATCAAACTTTGGCGGATATTTTATCTCTAATTTCACCTCTGAAACCAGGCATCCCTGGCCTCATTCAATCGCAAATATTTCGACTTCTTTTCAACATGCGCTCGTAGACGGATATTGTTTTCACCAAAAGCAAGGCAAAAGAACAGGCTTTAATATGATACCAATACCCCAATATGACCAAAAAGTTACGAGCGCCTGATTCCACCACGTTGCGTCCCATTTTGTTCAGATAAAACATGAAACTGGAGATCAACTGGAGAACTGAGCCGTTTTCCTTATCAGCCGTGTCTTGACACTTCGAGGCTTACCACGAGGCGTTGGGCGGACAAAGAGGAGAAGAAACGGGACAATAGAGGAGTCACAGAAATCAAATTTTAGTTAAACCATTTATCTAACAGTGAAGATTGTTCTGACTGACGTCTCTCGTGCGGTTGTTTGGCGTTTCATCGTTGTTGCACGCAGAGAACTGAGTTCGATTCTCGTACTGGAAGAATCTTTATTGAGCTTCTTCGTCTTTCTGCTGGAACGGTGGTTATGCTCTCAGACTCGCAAACATGATGATGATGATGATGATGATGATGATGATGATGATGATGATGATGATGATGATGATGATGATGATGATGATGATGATGATGATGTAATCTTAAGACCCTCTTTGTTAGGCCCATGTCCCTGCTAGTATACGGCGCCCATTTGGTTTTTCTTTCAGTTGCTTCTGAGGAGGCCCAAGAGGCGAAAAGATAGATAGATAGATAAATAGATAGATAGATCGATAGATCGATTGATCGATCGATAGATAGATAGATAGATAGATAGATAGATAGATAGATAGATAGATAGATAGATTTGGAATTTTTGAAGTTTTGATTTGGTTTTCTTGTCGACCCCTTCTCTTTCTTACGACTATTCTAATTCTTAACTTTCATTATAATGTTCAACATCTTTCCCAATGCTTCTCATAGCATCTAATATCTAACTTCTAAAGACTCTTCTCTCCCTCCTAATCCAGCAAGTAGTTTTGAGAGCAAATTATACGTGAGGTGCTCACCATCTTGAAAAATAGTAATAGTGTAAATATTAACATTCATTATTTCTTCTTGTGTTTGAGTACTATTTATTACTTTTTTGTGTTTCCTTTCCTCTTTTCTTATTTCCCTTTCCCTCTTCCTCCTATTTCTTCTTTTCCTAATCCATTGGGTCAAGACCACCGCCTTCAAAGTGACCCTGGAAAGTCTATTAGTTCGTTAAACTCACACAAATACAGGCACATCCACAGACATGCTCAAACACGTACAGTACACACTCACGCAAAGACACACCAAGTCACGCATAGATCCCAGCAACTCACTCAGGAATACGCGAACTTACACAGACACACACACACACACACACACACACACACACACACACACACACACACACACACACCGACAGGCAGGAAGACATACACACACACACACACACACACACACACACACACACACATATACATCTTGACCCAGTAAATAAAACTTTTCTTTATTTCGGACCTATGAAATACACAGCAATTTGAGTGCATTCACAGGATCGCTATAATAACTGATTCAATTTACAGTAAAATCGCCAACAAATTGCTCATTTTGAGACAGCGACACCACCCCACCCCTACATCTCAGTGTAAGCTGGTAAAATATCCCCAGAGGACGTCCCCATCTGAGTCTTGAAAAGTACTCACTCGTCTCTTCGACCGTGTTTCTTCATTGGCTTGCGTTAATTGCGTGTGGTGTTGATTTTCTTATTAAAAAGGCCACCTTTTTGATGTTATAGATGCATGTTGTAACTACTAAAATCCTTGATTATTTTCTTCACCCGGTTGCGGCTAACATCAAAGAGTATGTGTCGGAACCTTAGTTTGTAGTGACTTTCAATATTCTGTTGGTCATTCAACTTTTAAAAACGCATGCAAAGACGCTATATAAAATTGAACAGAGCAATGTGTTTTTATCCTGTTTCAACCTTAGACAGACGAAAGTGAACAAGCTATAGAATATAAAATTATTGTATCACATACGAGCACAAACTCATACACTGAGACACAAACACACATGGACTCATTCGATCACAAAGAACTCACTTTAATTGCAATTAATGTTATTACTACCAGTGGTCCAATTAACACATCACAATTTCTCTCTCTCTTTCTCTCTCTCCATTTGTCTGTCTGTCTGTCTGTCTGTCTGTCTGTCTGTCCGTCTGTCTGTCAGTCTCACACCCTTTCTCTCTCATTCTATCGTGTTCTTTTCTTTCCCTTTCACTGTTGCACTCATTCTTCCTTCATTCACAACCCAGCGGAAGGCAACTTGGTACAAACATAGGACATGTCCTTCCAAGTTAAAGAAATAATTCAAGAAATGAAATATGAGAGTGAACGGCTTCAAAGGACAAAAATTACATGCATAAAAACATAAACATAAACTCACTGAAACACATGTAAATAGACACAAATGCACTCAAATCCACGCAAACGCACAGTTACGAATAAACTCACAAAAACACGCACACTAACGTATTCATCCACTTTTCATTGCGATCGCACTTATTTGCACATGGGTTCGCACACAAAGCAAGTTTCTGCCAATTCCGTATTGGATAGCTTGAGCGCGGTATGTTTTTCCAAAGTTTTAATAATTTAGCCACAAGCTGAGGGTTTCAGATGTAAAACCGAGGAGATAAAAAATTTGCTCTGCTTACAATTCCCTTAAATTTACCATGCCTCATGAGATAAATAAAAAATCATCTGAGTTTCTCACAGTCAATAAGGGTAAATCGGGAGGTTTGAAGCTGGGGATTGTTTGCCTAAAGCCTCTATGAGGGCCCACACCAAACTTGTGAATAGATCGAATCAATCATGGCGGCAAACAAATAAAAAAGTCAGGCTAAATTAATTGCAAGACCTCTATCAGATTTGTTTCCCAAACGATCTCGATCAGTTCTGGTTCCTGGACATACATAAAAAGGATCAATTATTTAGTAATGTGTCTCCGCAGCCATGAATGAAATAAGGCGAGTCTTAGAAGTACGATTGGCGCTAACATTTCGGTCTGGAATCTTTTCTTCCCTTTGTACAATCTGTCTACGTTCTAAATATTCAGATCGTCTACAATCGCGTCCATCTGTACTAGGTCTGCGTGCCATGGACAATAGTCATTCTCTCTGTGTGTTTGAAACCTGTGTCGAACAAGAGGACACTTATGTCGTTTTTATTTGTTCTTCCCGCTTGCCACTCGTACAGCCAACGTGCAGCCTATCCGTCTCTTTTGACGGGTTCCCTTCGCTTTCACGAGCGCCTCACTTCAATTCCTGGACGGATCTCGCAACTGCAGACAGTGGTCGCGGTGCTGTGAGTCAAATCAGACCTGATAAAAAAAATCTGTGTGACACTTTCCCAAGGATCCTTTATTGCTGGAAATGTTCTTTTGTATCGTCTTTCAATCGTTTTCAGGTTAGATGCTTATTTACGGCTTGTTTACGTATCTATAAGTATTACATTTTTAGTGTTTCACTTTGCTTGATTTGGTTGAATTACTGCTAATTGACATATTGTTAATATTTGCTGCCAGTCACTCTCCTTCACTCTTTCTAGATAACCGAACGACTAAGCATGTTTAACTTTAAACTTTTCGGTTTTCATGCTGTATTGGAACTGTCTTTAGCCTATGGTCAAAGTCATACTTGCTGGAATAAAATAGTTTCTCTTTCGACAACTTTTAAAATAAAAACATTGCAAAACAGAACTAGTTGTTCGTAACCTTCAGAGCTTCAGAGCTGTTATGCATGCGAGGCCGAATCTTTTCTTACGTTAGGAACCAAACTTGAGTATAGCTCGTTATTGAAGTGTATAAAAGACACCACTATTCAATAATTTTAATAAAGACTCCGAACTCTATTCGGACGATCGCTCGCAAAAATGAACTCTGAAAAATGAAAGTGCCATTGAAAGTCGTAGTTGCTTTTCACTGCCGTGTCCTTACGACCAACTGATTCGCTGTCGCCTGCGGGATTGACGCTATCTTTGTGCCGGGGCAGAAGTGTTTAGAAAGGCGTCCTGTCTCGCTCTCTGCCTAATCGATATCACTAGAAACATCATGTAATTCCGGGATTATATCACTCAGTAAGTAAATATAATTTTGTTCACTCTTTACCGACCTTTATACCCTCGTTGCACCGGTAGAATTGTGCACTCTTTAATAATAGACTCTCGGCAAGTCTTTTTTTCAAAACACTTCGTGCCTAATCTTATTTTTCTGAAGAGGCCAAGTTGTTTGGAGGATTCAATGGGTTCTCCCTGAAGGGGAAAATGACGGGGGTCCTTCGAAAAGGGGGATGGGGGTTTATATTGAAGGTTTATAATTGGAGAAGGTGGGGTGGGGTTGAGGCTTTGCGGATAAGTTTAATCAGAACTCTTATGACTCAACAAGCCTCACCTAGCTGACTATTGTGGACTGGCAAACTATACAACGGACAACAAAGACATTTTCTAACTTTAAAGTCATTGATATTCAGAGAGGACGGCCGTTGTAGATCTTTTACACTGTCGTGGGTTTGCATTCGTTGAAAAAATTCATTTGAGGCAGGGACATTTCTACTGTATTTTGACGACAGCAAGAAGGAGAAATGCTTGACTGTTTGGTACTGCTTTAAGTTCATCCTAAGGTGATCCATGATTTTACAATGGAAAGTGACGGGCAGTGTGTGATAAGATGTCATTTGTTAAAGTGCAATTGAAAGTAAAAATATAACCTGGTTCGGTTATGTGACATGATATACTTTGTTAATATTCTGAAGAGCTACAACATGGTTCGCGCATAAGTCAATTTTTAAAAACTTTTGTTATATAAAATTATTATGGGTTCGGAAGCAGTCTGTTCGACCGGTCTTGGCAAAATCGGACTTTCCTGACTGCTGCTCACTAAATTGCAATTACTTATTTATCAACGTATGGACTGGTTTAAGTGTAATTTGGTCTCATGTACAATCAAAGGTCGTACATAACAAGATAGTTCACTCAGCCAAAAAAAAAAGTGTCCACGAAAGTCATTGGTTCATATAGCGCTGCAGTCTTTGTCTTGAGGCTCTCTTTCGTTTCTCCAGAAGAAGAATAGGAATGGCACAGTTTGTTAGTTTCGCTTTTATTGTTTTTCACACAAGTAGGGTAACTCAGTTCGCAAAGTCCGCACTTTTTCGAAGAGGGCACAACCGGATTTTGAGGACACTTTTTTAATTTGCTCAAAGAGAGGAGTGAACTATCTTGTTATGTACGATCTTTGGTATAACCAACAACAAAGCCAGCACTATTTTGTTCTGTTGTGGTAAGGTGTTATATATCATAACATTTTTTTTCAACAACAACAGTTAAAAAAGAAAACACTTGAAATTCAAAATTTCACATTTTTATCACATTGATGACATGTTGGAATGTATACAGCTCCTGAGGTGGGATGGGGGCGGGGGTGGATTGGGAGGGGGCGGCTTTACCTTATTGGAGATTTTTAAAAATATCTATTTTAGTTTTTTAATGACCGATATTCATGTAGATTTCGGCAAAAATATCATTATTTAAAGTGGACAGCTTTGACATACTACAACTAAAATAATATGTAAGATATTGCTAAATAACACACAAAATATTCCTAAAGATATCAACAAACCAATCATCTACCTATTTTTGAAACGAGAAAAGAGTCCACCGATTAAGCTCGGAGGAGTAGCAATTGTTAAAATTATACACATTCAAAAAGTAGAAAAAAAATCATAAGAGACAAAAAGACAAAAAAAAACCTTTTCTCGCAATATATTTTCTGCATCCATTGTAACACGCATGCCTATTTTTGAGTCTTTGGCTGAAATAATAACGATTTTAGCAGTGCCCTCAGGTGGGATTCACTCATCCCTGCCCTCAGGTGGAGACTCTCCTCCTCGTCATCAACAAAATTGTGTTAACTATAAATTGTACTCATCGGAGGCCTTTGTTAGTGAGAAATGATTTCACTAGCTGTGCCTAGCCATAACACAATTGTAGAAAGAGTCACGTTATTATTATTATTATTATTATTATTATTATTATTATTATTATTATTATTATTATTATTATTATTATTATTATTATTACTATTATCATTTATTATTATTATTATTATTATTATTATTATTATTATTATTATTATTATTATTATTATTATTATTATTATTATTATTATTACTATTATAATTATTACTATTATTATTTTTATTATTATTATTATTATTATTATTATTATTATTATTATTATTATTATTATTATTATTATTATTATAATTATAATTAAGAGTAGTGTTATAGTTGTTGATTATCTTTTATATAATTAAAGCTAGTATTAGTTTTAGTTGGCTTGCTAGTATTAGCTTTAGTTGGCTTATCACTCATATTTTAGGTCTTTTATTTTTATCATTGTTTTCATCCTCATTGCTGTAAGTAGGATAAGATACCCCCCCCAAAAAACAAAAAAAATTTTTTAAAAAACATTGGTGGAAATTTGAGCATTTGAAGTTTTTATAACATTATAAAATATGTTCAACTTTTTGCCTTTAAGGGTTTCTACAGGATGGTGATAAATCAACACTAAAAAGCAAATATCTTCCTCCTCCTCCTCCTCACGATCATCATCATTAGTATAATAATAATAATAATAATAATAATAATAATAATAATAATAATAATAATAATAATAATAATAATAATAATAATAATAAAGAATATAATAACAATAATGATAATAATTAAATATTAGTAATGATTTTAAAAAGTCCCAATTTTTTGGCTCATCACTCAGATTTCTTTTCTCTATCGGGTTCGTCTATAACCCAAAAATAAAACATAATCGAATCTTGATACTGAAGGAATCTGTCTAGTTTGGTCATATTTTTCTAAACAAGGTAAATAAAAATCGTTTGGGCACTGGACATTTTTAATTATTTTTTTTATTCTACTACCTTTTAACTTATGAATAAGCACGTCTCCATTCTGTGTGCTAATCCCTATTCGTTTTGTTTCGTTTTTGCTTTTGCTTTTATTTTTAAAAAATAATAAAACCGAGCGTCAATCTAGAACGATATTTAGTTTCCTCTCATTCACAATAACTGTCTGCCAAAGTGGTAGCTGTCTAACGCTTTAGAAAAGGCTCTGCAGAAGATGCATTGATTCGCCCGTCTAGTGGAGACTCAATCCTGGAATATCGCATTACAAAAGCTGAACCAAATGCATTCACTTTTATTGTTCCGAAGGCACATTGTTTTCTCAGGTCGATTCGGGCTTTTTTATCATCTTATTTGTGTACTCGCGGCTGAGAGAGACAAAGAGAGAAATCTATACCTAGTATAATATTAATTATTCATGAGCGTTGTTTAAAAGAGTTCCTAGTTACTTATGGTGAAATGACAAACAGCACAACAGAAAGCAGGCATTATATTTTTTTGTATACTACAATTTGAAGTTGTGTCTGAAAACAGCTTGTTTGATTTGTTACACGGTTTCAGAAGAATGGAAAGTACTATTTGCTGTGGATGGAACCTTTTTTCTATTAAAATATTTCAGTTTTTTTCACTAAGACTGAATAATTGTAGCATTTTTACTTCGTTTCTCTTTAAATCTTTTCCTTCTCTCTATCTATTTATCTATCTATCTATCTATCTATCTATCTATCTATCTATCTATCTATCTATCTATCTGTCTGTCTGTCTGTCTGTCTGTCTGTCTGTCTGTCTGTCTGTCTGTCTGTATGTATGTATGTTTGTCTCTCTATTTGTCTGTCTGTCTGTCTGTCTGTCTGTCTGTCTGTCTGTCTGTCTATTTGTCTGTATATCTGTGTATCCTCCTGTCTGCCTGTCCGCCTGCCTTTTCTAAACGTGAGATTGTCTCATCATTCCACAACCTTATGTAACTACTAGAGCTACTATTCATTTCCTGCATCTGTTCATTGTGAATTACAGTCGTTGTCGCGCCACCCTTAGCTACTTCTCAAGCCACGACAAAAAAAAGGAACACACACCATCAGTGTTCATTAACATAGTTTAATTTATTCTGTGTTGAATTAGAAACTCATATCATTATACCGGTATTTTAAAAATATGCATATTTTCCTGAACCAAACAACCCGAAACTTCGTTTCCTGAGCTAGATTCTCTATGAATCTTTTTCTTTGGATGGCACGGCCTTTCTTAGCTCTGTCGCGGCTGGGATCTTATGGTCATTGCCCTGAACAAAGGGGGCTTAAGTCGGTATCGTCCGAGAGAAGTATTAAAATTTGTTTTTCTTATCTAGGCTCTTATCCCAAAGAGCAGAAATCTTGAGGCGCAGTTAATGACTAATGAAATTAACTAGGAGAACCAGACACCGGGGTTGATAAAAGACGAGTCCCCCCAGGTTACACCAAACTAATCATTATTTATAATACTTTTTCTTTCAAAGTAGTAAGCTTACAATAACTTTTATCCAGAGGAAACGATTAAGAACTGCAACTAAGTGATGTAAGCTGTTGTGAAATTAGACAACCCCCCCCCCCATACACACACAGACAATAACAGCACAGGGTATCTAAAAAGGACCTATTTAAAGAGCAATAACTCAGTCATCATTGATTCAATTTCAACAAAACTTTGAACAAACAAATTCAACCACGGGGACGTCAAACTTGTCAATAAAGGGAAACTCGAAAGGTGCGTTGGAAAAATATTAAGTCTTAACAAGTTCAACCAAAACTGAATAAAACACAAAACTAAAGACCTTTGGAATACTGTGTATTTGTGCCTTGAAGAATGTCCCCAAGGTAGAGGTGGGTTTTTTTTTGTGCGAATAAAAAAAAAAATGATGTAGAGATTACAGAGTACCCCCCTTTAAATGGGCCCTCTTTTTAGGCATTTGGTAAGTTCGCATACTAGGAGAGAAAGAACTACTCTATAAAGAAACCTCCGAGATGATATAAAGAAACCTCCGAGATGATTTTAAAAACATGGGTCCATCACAAGTCACAGAATTATACATACTTTTTCTGTCAAAGTGTTAGCCTGTTGAGTTAATAATAATAAATGATATTAATATAGCACTCAACCCCCATTAAAGTACACAGGCTCTGAGAGCTTTACAATACAATACAATGTATCACAGTAAAATAAAACGTTGTGTTCTGACTAAAAGAAAATTACTCCAAATATTCATCTTATTCATTTAAAAACAGAAAAGACTTCAACTGACATTTGAATGGATCAAAAGATTTGATCTCCCTTTAAGTACTTGGCAAAGCATTCCAGATCGTGGGGCCTTTATTCAAATGTCCTTTCACCCATTGTTTTAAGTTTCATAGATGGTTTTAAAAAAATTGTCAGCTGATATCCTTAAACTGCGAGTTGGAATGTGCAGTCTCAACAGATTTTATAAATATGATAGTGCATTACCATTCAAGTATTTGTGACATATGGTGGCCAACTTGTACACAATTGTTTTCTCAACAGGAAGTCAATGCAATATCCGTACTAGAGGTTTAGCAGAGTCTCGCTTTCTTTTCCGTAAAACTAAACGTGCAGCATTGTTTTGGACAGTTTAAAATCTTTTAACTTTCACGATAACTTTAATCTTGAGGAATCGTGTTGTGTACTGCAAGAATGGTCTCAGACTCAATAATTGAGGTGGTAATTTTCGACAGGTCAGCATGACAATTAGAGCTTTAGAAATTATTACCTATGACAAAAGCAGTGAGATGGATAATTACTCAGTGTCTACAAGATGTACAAGGTTTAAGGAAAAGCCAGCCAAATGAGGTATGCTGGTGGTGAACCGCAGGAAAACGAGCAGTGATAGTTTGTACGCATGTTCTGAACAAAAAAGAAACAATACTATTTCCCGTTACTTGACCGGGAATCTAGTTTCTCACCTCATTGTACGATTATCACTTGTGTTTAGTTTGTTGTTTGTGCATAGTTTAGTTGAATGATCCTTTTTAATATCACGGAGGGTTCGGTGAGGGCAAGAAGTCAAAAGTCCAATTCTTTGTCAGTTACTATCAATGCATTGTCATCCGTTGGTATCAGTACAATATCACGCTGCCGACGTCACGCAGCAGAGTTCCGTTTTTTATGTTGTAGTGATACTGACATTGACATTCCATTAATAACAAGATTTCAGTTTCAGTTTGACACCATGCGAATACCGCATTTTTAAAAGAGCAACTTTAGTGTTGTTGACACTGGGCTATTACGTTGCAGCAGGCGAAGACTTGATTGAGAAGTTGGACAAAACAGCGAGGATCCCCATGTACTCTTTCGTTAACACACTTTGATAAGATTGCAAGAGTTATATTCAATTTGTTGATGAAAAAAAAATTTAAGAACTCCTGATAACAAAGTAGATATTGTGGAGCCAACTCAAACACGTCTCAAGCAAAGTGAGATTGAACTGTATAAACAAGAAAGAACGAACGCCAATTTACTAAAGGGTTTAATCGAACGTCGAGATGAACCCCCCCCCCCCTATGTCAGTCAAAACGCGTAAAGGCGTGAACTATCAATTTTCTGCTTTTCTCTTGTGTGTTGGAGTTTGAAATTTCAACAAGTTGACGACTATTGTCCTGCCTTTATGTTTACTTTGGAGAACCCGCTATCACAAAGACACACCCTAAGCGATTAAATCCCTTCTGAACATTATAGCCCTTTTTCATTCTTCTATACTCTGAGATTCAAACGAACTTCTCAGTTTGGGAAGGTTCGTATCCTGGTGTAGCCTTTGTGTATTATTTTGTTCAAAGCCTTAAGCAAGTCCACGGTTTGATCGATCGGGAGGACGAGGCAGGCTTAAACCCGTAGGTGGGGATGGGACGGTGCATTCTTCGATTTACTTTATTGGCCTGTTTCAAAACAAGTCTTATATCGCAGGCAGGCATTAGTAGAAACTGCGAAGCTCAAAACGGGATGCAGAAGAGCAGCAGAATTAAAGGAAACAGGATCATCTGAAACGCAGCCGGGGAGGGAGGGGGAGGGGGTGGGAGTGGGGAACAGCGTAATTCGGGCGTTCTTTAAGTTACTTTAACGTGAGGTATATAATTATTTTGTGCACACCACTTGGGGAAAATTTTCAGACTCGAGGGAAACTTTAAAGAATGGATTTAAGATAAGAAACAGGAAACAGGATCATGAGAAAGATAAGATAATGTAAGAATCATCTTTATTGTACAGATCCTTGCACACTGGTTTGGTGTTTCACAACGTACACACCTACACACGCATGC